CTCCTGCTAAAGCAGGACACCCCCGAGGGGCAAAGGCCTTATATCCCCCCCTCTCCCACCCTGTCTGCAACCCCAGTTCTGGACCCCAAACAAAGCATGCAAACTGATGCAAAGCGGCACAAGAAGCACGGGGCGCGGGGTGGAGATGCAATCAGGGCGGAAGCCCAGCAGGGAGGGTAGGAGCGGGTGCCTCTCGGAGGCCTGGGCTCTTGGGGCAGGAAGGGACTCCTCCCAATGGCAATCTGGAGGGGGGGCTCCCCCCTCACACTCCACGCTGCTGGGGTCGCTCCCCCCCCCCCTGTGCCTCTCCGGGCGCCTCCCAGGCGGCCAGGCTCACCTCAGCGGAGTAGCAGCGGACGGGGATCCCAAAGGCCCGGGCCAGCCCGAAGTCGGCAAGCTTCAGCTCCCCATTCTGCGGGGAAAGGGAACAGCCGGCGGTTCATGGGGCACGGGGGCACCACCGCTCGCACCCCCACCCCCCCCCCCCCCGAGAAGCAAATTCACTCCCAAGTCAAGGAACCCGCAGCCTGCTCAGCCCTGGCGGGGACAAGCCCTAGACCGTCCCTCCACCGTCCATCAGGTGCCGCTATTAGAAGAGAGCTTCTAAAATGGGCTTCTTGGGGCCAGGAAGTGCTCAGAAGGTGAGGAAGGCTCTGCCCTTGGTCAGGAGCGGCACGAGTGCGCCCCCCCCCCGTCCCCACGGACATGCCACGAGCAGCATTTGGGGTGGGGGGACAGGGGAGGCCAGAGAGCGCAGAACTTGGGGGGGGGGCGGTTGGATGTCCTGGGGTGCACCAGAGAGCAGAAGAAGAAGAAGAGATTGGATTTATACTACTATTTATACAAACTCCTTTTCCCTTCCCCTCCCCACAACAGACAGACACCCTGTGAGACGGGTGGGGCTGAGAGAGCTCTTGACAGAAACGGCTCTTTTTCAAGGACAGCTCTGATCAGAACTACGGCTTGCCCAAGGTCATCCAGCCAGGTGCAAGTGGAGGAGGCGTGGGGAATCAAACCCAATCCTCCCAGATTAGAGTCCACCTGCACTTAACCCACCACACCAGACTGCCTGGCATCCCCTCAGGCAGACAACTGGCCTCTTTCGCCCCACGGCAGACTCTGCCGGGAGATCCACTCCAGGCCAGAGGGGCCGCTGCGTTCTCCTGCCCAGCCGCCTCTCAAGTAGAGGGGAACAGAATCGTTGGCAATGCGGTGCCACTTTCAGGAGCTGGCGAGGCCAGGCTTGGGAAGGGCCTTCGGGGGGGCCCAGGGGTGGCTGAGTGGGCACCGTGGGCACAGGGGCTGTTGGAGCTGCTTGGGCTGAAGCAGAAATGCCGGAAGGGCACCTGTGGGGTCAGTCCAAAGGAAGGCCTGCAAGCAGAACATCAAGGCGGCAGCCCTGCCCCACCCCCTGCTGCCCCACCTCCCCCCCCAACCCAACACTGGGAGGTCGCCTGGTCTTCCAGGTGAAGGTTCCATTTGGTTCCCACGGCTCTCAGCTGAGAGGAGCCCTCTGCTCCTCCGTGCGTAAGTGGGGCCATCCAGCGAATTCCCTCGGTCACTGGGCTGTACGCAGCCCTTCCCTTTCCCCTCCCCTCCCCTGACAACCATGCAAAGCTGCCTCAGACGGAGTCGGGGCTCCAGCCCTTCTCCTGGGCACCCCCGAGCTTCAGTGTTACGGGGAAGAGATTGCCTTGTCCTCCCGGAAGAGTCCACAGCCCACTCTGCAGCTCAGCACCCTGCGTGACACGGTCTCACCTGCACGCCCGCTGCCACTGGCAGACCCTCGCCAGAACCGCCCACGGACGCCTGCGCTGGGCTTCCTGGTCTTTAACCGTTCAGTTTCTCACCCAGAAGGGGGCCGGCCCTCTAACCCCCAACCAATGTTCCCTCTAAGCTGTGGAGTCTTGTGAGCAAAAATTCCACTTTGTGAGCTACTGGCATTACAGTTGTGAGCCAGCGGTCTGGCTGCTGCATAAATTAGTTTGCTCCGGAGCCCTCCTTCCTGAGCTGAGACAAGAATGTGTGAGCTGGAGGCTAAAGACCTGTGAGCTGGCTCACACTCACTCAGCTTAGAGGGAACCCTGCCCCCAACTGCTAAGTTCCCCCAGGAGCCTTGAATGGGGGGCTGTGTCCACCCGGCCTGCTGGGTCTCGGGCAGGCGGAAAAGAGGGACCCCGCGGGGCACTCACACGATTGATCAGCAGGTTCTGGGGCTTCAGGTCCCGGTGCAGGACGTTCCTGCTGTGGCAGAACCCCAGGCCCTTCAGCAGCTGGTACATGAACGACTGGGGAGGAAGAGGGAGGGGGGGGTTGTCAGTCTCTCCCCAGCAGCCACCGAGGCAGCCCCGGGGGAAGGTGCCTGCCTGGCTGTAGCCCAAAAGCCCGCTCTCCTCACCCCCGCTCACCTTCACGATCTCGGGGTCCAGGTCTCCATTGCAGCTGTCAAAGTACTTCTTCAGGTCCTGGCAGTGAGGAAGGGGGGGCAGGCGTCAGCGGCAGGCCGAGAGCGCCTGAGAGGAGGGGGCTGGCGAGCGCAACACGCGCCCGGGAGGGATGGCCAAGACGTAGAGGCTGGTTTCGCCCCAAGCGAAAGAGGGCCCGGAGGAGGGTAGCCACCAGCGGAACTGGGGGAGGACAGAGAGAGCCAAAGGCCTGGGGCTCCCTGGGGTGCCAGCCCCCCCTTCCCATCAGCCCCCCCACGGGGGCCCAGGGCCTGCTCCGAAGGGAACTCCACCCCCTCTCCCATCACCACGGGAGGCCGGCCGTCTGCTTGGGCAGGGGGGCCGCTGCCACTCCCCCACCCCACCCCCCACCCCTGGGGCTCCAGCTGCCCTCTCCTTCCTCCTCACCTGGTCACAAAACTCAAAGACCAGCGTCAGCTTCTTGTCGCTGTGCAGGACATCGTGCAGCCTGGTTGGGGGGGGGGGAGAGAGAGAGCGCCCGCCCGTCATGGCCCTGGCAGGAACCTGGGGAGACGTCTCCCACCCCCCCTCCCCACCACGGGCCAGCTCCAACTGGAGCAGTCAGTCCCTCAGAAAGGAAGAGGGAGGATCAGAGGGGAAGCGGGGCCAACTGCACCTCACGTGGCCTGCCTGTGTTCTCTCCCTGTGGGGGCGTGGCTTTTTTGAGAAGTAGGCATTGTTGGCCCATCAGGCAAACGGAAAGCCAGTAAGTCTGCAGGCCCACACGGCATTCTGCCAATGGCTCCTCAAAAATCCAAACCTGCAGTTGTTGATCTACTAACAAGTATATGTAACTTTTTAAAAAAAATCTACCTCTGTGCTGGGTGACAGGAAAATATCCACCTAGTTTTTTAAAAGGGCCCCGAAGGGGATCCAGGGAACTCCAAGCCAGTCAGCCTAACATCTGTTCCAGGTAAGTTAGCAGAGTCTGTAATCAACGATAGAATTACAAGGCCCATGGAGGAACAAGGCCCGCTGAGAGAGAATCAGCATGGCTTCTGCAAAGGGAAGTCCTGCCTCAAGCACATTGATAATGATGATAATAGTAGCCATTATACGCTTTCAAAACTCTTTCGGCCAGGTCCCTCACCAAAGAATCCTAAATTTAGCAAAGAATAAGAGGAGGGGTCCTCTCATGCATTAAAAATTGGTTTGCTGGCAGGAAGCAGGAATAAATGAGCAGCTCTTGCAATGGAGGGAAGCATCGGCGCTACGTAATCTGGAATCGGGGTGGGCAGTGTTCACAGTCAGCCTTGCAGATTACACCAAATTAGTCAGGACGGTGAAAACCCAGGCCCCACCGTGAAGAGCTACAGAAAGATGCCTGTACATTGGGTGGGTTGTTCAGCCTGGTTAAGTGTAAAGCGAAGCCGACTGCAGCAAAAAATCATGCCTATGCTGATGGGGTCCGAACCGACTGAAACTTTCCATCTCAGGATCGATTCCAGTGGGTGGCTGCGCTGGTCTGAAGCAACAGAACAAGGACAGAGTCCCTCGCAGCACCTTGAAGACCAACAAAGTTTTATTCTGAGCATGAGCCTTCGTGGGCAGGCACGCTGCTTCTGTGGTGGAAAGCAGGCCGGAAAGGTCACCTCAGAGTGCAGCAGCAGCAGCAGCAGCACCGAGAAAGGCAAACGCTGAGGCATGATTAGGAAAGGGATTGGAAATGAAATGGCCAATACTGAAATGTCCTTGTACGGATCCATGGTGAAGCCTCCCTGGAAATGTGAGTGCACAATGGCCCAGCCAGGTGAGGAGGGGGTTGGGGCCCCTCCCCTAGGAGGAAAGGCGGGATCGGAGTCTGGGACTTTTCAGCTTAGGAAAGAAACAACTAGAAGGAGATGTGATAGAGGTTTATCGAATTATGCAGGGGGAGGAGGGAGCTGACACAGAGAACTCCCAGAACCCTTCTTGCACTCAGGGGCGTCCAATGAAGTTGATGGGCAGGAGGTTCAGGAGAGACAAAAGGAGAGATGACTTTGCACAGAGAGTGATGAAAATGTGGAATTTGCTGCCAGAGGATGTGGTGATGGCCACAGGAACGGACAGCTTTCGGGGGGGGGTTAGCCAGATTCCAGGAGGAGAGGTCTATCAGTGGCTACACTAGGGGAGCCTCCCCATCCAGGGGCACTCATCCTGTGAACCCCAGAGCCGGGAGGCAGCATGGATGGGGGGGGGGAGGCCTGGGCCTCCACGCCCCTGTGGTTGGCCGTCCAGAGGAAGGGGTCGTCCCCTGAGAGAGAGGGGCGGGTGGCCTGGATGGACCCTCCCCGGTCTGATCCTGCCGGTGCCCGCTCCCCGGAGGGTCCAGATCCTCCAGTTCCAGTTCTGCAGAGAGCAATGCGGCTCCCCGCTGCCATTCGCAGGGTTCCGT